TTGAGCCGAGGCCCTGGTTCGGCTGTTTACCCAGTTCGGCTGGAAGCTTTGATTAAATTCTGGGTAACCAAGTTAGACGGGAAAGTACGATTGGCTCACTTGCCGTGAGGAGACAAAGGTTTAATTCAATACGTTTCTGCATGGTAGTCGCGCATGTTTCTGACTGGCACTGTGTTTGTGTTGTTTGTCATGTTGAGCTGCTGTGCACACACAAAGTCTGTCATTCAAGGTGAGATGGTTTATTAACTTTCCTACACTAGGATTGTCCACGTCTTTCAGTGCTGGCCCCCATGAGCCCCAAAGAGAGGAAGTCCCGGCAGTTCCACTTGTCCAACCAACATAAAAGAAAAAAGATGCATCAGTCACATGAAAAAGCATCGTAGCAGAGTTTCTCTTTGATCAGTTATTTTCAATGGGGCCATAAGGCACATCATTGTACAAATATCCCCATATAACCCCTATAAAAGTTATTCTTGACATTTTATTGAAAACGTGTTGAATTTTTGTTGACTCTGATTACTTTATTTTGGCTTTGACTTCCTGTTGACATGGCCAACAAAAAAATTGTTGATTTTGTGCTGAAACTTTTTCAGTTATTTTCTTAAGGATTTTGATTGGTCTAGTTGGTTCGTATTAGCCATGAATAAAAATAGCGCGAACTTTACAAAGACAAAAAGGAGGGCAAAAAACGCCAGTCCTGTCGTACGTGAGCCTTTTTTGTCCTTGTCAAGTTCGTGCTATTTTAATCATGTCTATTTTCTTCAGCCTGAGTCAAAAGAACAATTGTTGACTTTTTATTAACTTTGCGTTGAATTTTTTTCTGCTGACTTTCTGTTGAAAGTGTCATCAGGAAGATTGCAGGCGTTCTGTTTACTTCGTGTTGAAAACGTTCACTTAAAGGCCTGTTCACACATGCAGCGGAGCGCTACAAGCATAGCGCTAACCTCGAGCTTAGCTCGTGCTGACGGCAGCGTTCACCAGCTTTGTATGGCACCGTCGAAACTGTTGCTCATGGCAGACGATAACTAGCTGACGACACGTGAGGAGCGCTACATCAGCGCTTCGCTGCATGTGAGAACCGGCCTTAACTCTCTGCAGCCAGTGTCAATAACAAAGCTACAGACTTTCTGTTGACTTTTTATTATACGTAGTACACCTTGACCACATGTCAAAAGACACTAAGTTTCTCAATAGTCTCTGACAAAGTGAGACCGGTAGGAAGGAGCTTCAGTTGTCCCGCCTCCAGCGCGAGCCTTTTACCCTTGACAATGCTTCGGCGCCTCGCGCACCTCGAGCGCGCGCGCGCAGTCAAAGCACAACGGAAGGCATGAGGCGCGTGCTAGAGGCCAGGCGTTCGAAAGATACGCCCTGCCGTTTTCTTTTTATGACTCTAGTGACTTTATTGACCCTATTAAACTAGTCAACTCGTAAAAAAAAAAAGCAAAAGAGCTTGTTTATAGTGGGGTGACTGCCTTGACTTGCCTCGTTCTGAGTGGTGCTATGCAGAGAAGCGATAACAAGTATTCTAGGAGCCGTTGTGGTGGATGTTGTTTTAGCGACTGCGCCGAATCATTATTAGTTGTACCAATGCTTTTTAGTAAGAGAGAGATAGATAGAGTCCACGAACTTCGAAACCCTTTTTTCCCTTCGACAGATCCACGAGAAATAGACAGGAGTGCTGAGCTGGCCACCGGCCAAATGATAGCCTTCATAATCGTTTGGTGTGACACGTCGCGCATTCTAGCTCAAAATATTTGCAACAATGGGAAGGCCATTTCGCCAGCCCACTTGTTCGTGAGACTGTTCACGGACTACTTTGAAGAAGTTGATTCGTTTGTTTTTGGTCTTTTATTCTTGACATTGCTAATGCATGTCGCAGAAGAGCAAATGTCGATGCTGTGGGCACTGTTGCGGACCGGACTGTCGCAACAGCGAAAGTTCGGGAGATATTCGACTATTTATGTATGAAAATTATAAACACAAAATGTACAAACCGAACCTGAAAGCTTACGTTTAAATGAAAGCTTACGTTTAACACCCTACACACTAGTGATGGGGCTGAGCAGATTACTTCAGTAAAAAAAAAAAAAGGAAAAGCAGTAAAAAAAATTGGGAGTTAAGAGTGCTGGAAAAATCAGCTCTAACAATGTAGAGGACACAAAAACAGGGCACAAGGAAAATGTGTTTGACAATTCACTGGGAAGTCCTTTGCTGTTCGAGGCGAGAACGGGAGTTTTGAGGACGAGGAGGTATAGGGCTAAATTTTAAAATACAAACACATAATTTGCTGCCTGCCATAATGAGAGCGAGACACTGCAGCACTTGGTTTTGAAGTGCACGGGGCTTCGCCCTGCCCTCTCTGAAGGGGTAACAGATTTGGCCAGGCCCCTGGGTTTTGCCGGCGATTATGGAAGGACGGAAGAGAAAGGGATTACAGTCACAAAGAGGCGATCAGAAGATTGGTGGAAATTATCTAAAGAAAATTGAACAAAGTACAACTAACTTGCACATCTGGGGGACAGGTGGGACAGAGGAAAATTGGGACTCCCTCCCGCGTGCCTCCGGCCCAAAGTTCCAACCCCCCCCCCCCTCAGTTCGTTAGGTGCTGGGGCAACGTCAACAAGGTTTGAACAGAGGAAAATTGGCGACTCCCTCGCCGGGGGGAAGAGGCGGGGGGTAATGTTTTTCAGGTTTTTGTTTGCCCGATCCCTGCAGGTCATCCTGATGATATCCCACATTGCCTGGTGATAGTTAGGAGAAAATTGCCTTAGAAGGGTGGGAAGAATCGTATGTTTGTCTTTTTAGACAGGCTAGGTGGTGCAAGTTACCGTCCGTTACAAGGGGTATAGCCATTAACATCCATTCAACATCCATTCATCCAGGGCGATTTGCGCAACCTCCTGGAAAAGGACTGTTGTGCGAGTTGGTACTTGGGTTGCCAAAGGCATGGTAGCGCTTTTTTGGACGAGGACAAAGGAAAGACATGACAGACACGAGCGCTCGTGTCTGTCTTGTCTTTCTTTCTTTTGTCCTCGTACAAAAAAGCGCTACCATGCCTTTGGCAACCCAAGTCCAATACCAACTAGCCCAACATACAGCTTTGATGAGTTGATACTGTGCACTAGAAAACATGATTTCGCTTTAGGACAAGGACAGTGGAAGAACAGACAACACAAAGTGCCAACTTTCAACTGTTTAATCACCCTCTCTGAGCAGGCCTACCCCCTACTACGACTCATCCCACTCAAAGCTGGTTAAAAGAGGAATAGCCAGTTTGTATTTCATGAACGCCTTGAGAAGGTCTTGCCACCATGCAATGCCCTGTGGGCCGGTTTTCCAAAGGCTGTGCTTGTATCTGTAGCAGAAGGCATCCCCTCCGAGAGATAGAAAAAGTGGCAGTTGTGCCGTACATGCCCAGAACAGCGCACAACCTAGGAAAGATAGCGAAACGTGTAAACGTAAAAGTTTTCTCTGCGCCGAAAAAGCTCGCCAAGGTGTGCGAATTGACAGACCCGTTCCGTAGAGCTCCGACGGGCTGCTTAAAGAAACACACGAGTCCCTTATCACTGGAAGAAAAAAAAAAATGTTGTGGCCGAAACGTTGCTGAACTAAATGGTATGAAACTCTATTTTTGATACCTGCGAACTCAATGTAGTCACTTTCCACAAAATGCAAGGAGCATATAAATCGGGTAGTGTCCACTTTCCGAGGTGCCCGTAACTGTTCTGCAGAATTTTGCAGCCAGCGATTGGTCCCGATCCCGCTGATCTTTCGGAAACTTGTGCCATAGCTTCTGCAGACACTGCCGCACAATGCTACTTTGCTATATAGAACCTGTGAGGCAGCTCTTCACGCAACACCTTGGGTGCATTCTTTTCGGAGCCGATCAGGCATTCACCACGGGCAATCACTACTCGTTTCCATATCATCAATGTACAAAACAAGTCATCTTGAAGTGCAGAACAGCGAGCGGCACAAACATAACTGCAAAGCAATCGCACGGCAAACAGTACCCGCAACGCATGTCGTTTGCTACGCGTAGAAAAAAAAAAAAGAAAAAAAAAATAATCCGTGGGAGGAAAAAAAGAAAGAAGCGCACGGTCGGGTGTATCACGTCATTTCCGGCAGTCTCTCACCCGACTTCCGTGTGCAGGTTTCCGTTTCGATCAGTTGCGTTTCTTGGCCTTATTAAAATATGTGCGACTGTATCAAAATATTAATTGGGTAGTCTTCTGACACCATATTAAATCACCTAACAAAAAATTAAAAAAAAAAAATCTTTTTTGGGGAAGTTAGTGTCCCGTTCATGACAGAGTAAGAGAGCACAATCAGAAAGTAAACGGACTTTGGGATGGCCATCCTTTGTGTCACTCTCATGACTACGGGTGCAAACCTTTATTTGCCACGTGTACTGTTCTCGCCAAACACAAAGACAACACTGAGATAATTGGGACTGACACCAGAAAAAGGGATAGCGTACTTGCGATCGGTGACTGTTGTCTGTTCTTCCACCGTCCTTGTCCTGAAGCATGATCACATTTTGTAATGGAAAAGGTTAACTATGCTGTAAGAAAGCGAGGTTCAAACAGGTTACCGTTTATCCAGGTACGGGGCAGCGTTGCGTCATTCGCATGCAACTTTTTGTACGTCACCCAGCATATTACCTGACATATAGACCCATTTGATTCTGTCAGTGCTGTGCTAGCCGCAAAATGCATCGACTTACAGTTCTTTCACGTTAGTGTTTAGGATCTTTGTGGGCAGGTCGATAGCTCTTCTAGGATTCCTTAAAGGCACAGTGTGTCACGTTATGGTATGGCTAATCTGAAAGGAAATGATACAGCGGCCCGAGGCCAAGCTGCACTCTCTGGTGTTAGTATATGCATCACAGCCGATAGACTGTGGTCTAACACAGCCAAAAGAGGTCAGACATTTGAAGAATTTGCGAAAAACCGGAGACGTTCTTCAGAGGTCCCCCCCAATTTCAAGATTGCCACAGGTTATCCAGAGTCTATGCACTTTTATTAAATGCACGCATAATCAAAAGGATGGGCACTCGAGGAACAATAAATGACATTGAAGCAGCCCCCCTATTGCTCAACACACATCCATTCAAGTACTTATATGCGCGAAGCACAAAATCACACCAGTGTTTTTCCTCAGACCTGTTCTCGAGGTTATTACCTGAAAGCTGCAACAAACAGGATTTTGCCCAAGAGACAAATGAAAGCCCAGCATCAGGGTGGAGAATAAAAATCAAGACAATATAAATAGTTTTCTAAATCATAATTCAAATCGTGATTTAGATCACACCGGTTTTACTGTGATGATTTAAATCTAACCTTTCCCGCAGAAATAATTCCCAAACTACTTTTCATGTGACGTTTTTCTATCATATAAAGCTTTCAGGGTGCGCTTGTTTCATATTGAAATCAAATGATCAAGTGAACAACTCTTCTCAGCCAATCAGAGCGTCGAGCTCTTCTTCTAAGTTCAACATAGTTTGTGTCACTTAATGTCCCATGGCAAGCAAATCAAAACGTGAAAGAAATGAAAACAAGAAAAGGAATGTCCAATTGCAAGCAAATCTCAACACGAAAGAAAAAGCAAATACAGCTTTTTCACTAACTAAAAAAATAAGCTGTTTTTGTTCTAGTATGGCAGGTTTATGTCATAAAAAAGTTGTTCATCAAATTTACTTAAAAAGCTTAAATGTACAGTAACCCTTTCTTCCGTGTTGTTTTCAGTGATTGAACAGATTGATAGATCAATCTGCCATGTTTAGAAATACATATAGCGACAAATTTTTTTTTCTAGCTACGGTAATTTATATAAAACTAAATCTGATTTATTTATTATTTTTAAAAAATCATGATTTTTGTTCCCACCCTGCTAAGCTTACATCGTTTCCCCATACGATGGCCCGCAGAGGATGCACAAGCCATCGAAACCAATCCAACGCCCTGAGAGTGCCACATGACTTCTGGGTGAAGCGCAGTGACACGCCGAGTGCATGGCTACGCGACGCGTTCATAGCACTGGACTGACTGGGACGACTCGTAGCTTTCGCTGCGGTTCATTGTAAGGTGAAACGGAGTTTAGAGTTGACCCTGCATGAGGATCAAGTCAAAACCCTGTTTAGGGCACTGCTAATTACACACAATGGTCCGCACATTCTATAAACGCAAGAAAGCATGGTATCAAAAGTCCGTCTATGCAGACCGCAGGAGATACGCCGCTCCACATAAAAAATGGATACAAAACGATATAGCATTGTTCGCTTCACTTGCATAGCAAGATGCATCTTAACAAGGTGGCATACAAAAAGTTGCAGTAGAAAAGCCAGTACACTGGGTACTCTGGCACAATACAAGATATGCAGGTGTAATGTGTAGTAGCAAAAATGTAGCATAGTATGTGTAAAAAAAAGTTGGGAATTATTTTGGGCACTGGTCAAAAAGACACGCAATAGTGAATTTTTTTTCCACTTCCATAAATTGTCAACTTCTCCTACTTATTCCACATGAGCAAGCTGCACTGACAAGTGTAGGAGGCAGTTACCATTATTTGCAGTTTTTCTGTAGTTACTGTCAAAACTTGTTTGCCCCAAAATATAAGCATCGAAAATCGTGCTTTTTGGCCAACTTGCAATGTTGAGCAGTTCTTAAAAAAAAAAAAAAAAAGTTTTTTTTTTTTTTTTAGATAAGCAAATGATGATCTTATCATTCAAAGATGTAAGAAAAAACCTGAATAATTATTCTTAAATTATCATACATAAAGAATCAGAACCCAAACAGCGCTTTTCTCGGCCACAAGTTAGTGAATATCCTCCAACCATAGGCCCAAAGTGGAAGAGAACAACAAATCTATCATTGGCAGGAATTAAACCCACCATGCAATGAAGCTGATATCAATAAAGGCATAGCCCCGACTCATATTGAATCAAGTACTTTTAACCCCTTCCTGACCATGGGAAAAGCAGCAATTCTCAAAGGACCTGTGCAACCATTCTTATCTGCCCATGCATATGCAGAAATATGACACATCAAAATGTGACCAATTGGTTTTTCTTTGAAAAGGAACAGAGGTCGGTGTAATGTGGGGAAAATATTTTAAAATGTAATTTCTTGAAAATACAATGTATGTGCAGAAGGCATATTAACGTCAAAACTTCTACAGCTATGTCAAATCAAAATGACAAATTAAAAAAATTCTGAATATACAAGACGTGTTTCACACCCACGGCCATTACTTCTTGGAGTTAGTGTACTCTAACTGACATTGTCTATTTTTGATTCGTCGAAGAGCTAGCCTCTGTAACATGTGTGCTTTTCAACGAATTAATGCTTATATTGGTGAAACACGTATAGTACACCTCAAAACCCCGGAAGAATGCTTTCTTTGTGTTCTACCTTGGTTTTATCATAGCCTTGATTGCATGTCGTTCATATTTAGCATTTTTGTCTGCCTTGTTGGGAACATAAAATGTGCAGAGGACAGACAGCATTGGAAATTATAGTGATGTTTACCGACATCCACCTGTGATGCCTAAAACACCATTTAAAGTATCTCCAGAGCTCTTGAGCTCTAAAAAATATGCTCCAATACAGTTGAATTATGTAAATAATGCCATCTTTGTGATGAAGACTGATGGAAGCAGTTAGCCATGTTAGACAAGTGCAACCACCGTTCCCAGGGCTATTTTTGACGGCATACCAACTTGTGATCAAGCTAAAACCTATGTTGAAACTGAAACTACAGTTCTTCGGTTATTTGCGAGATTGAAAAACATAATTCTCTGCACTAAATTTGATTTTTGACGACGCTTGGAAACCATCGATCACCGGGGATCGACGGCTTATGGGCATGGTCAGGAAAGAGTTAAAAACTACCAGTAAACAAGAAGAATAAAGACTTAGACTTTACAGATCCCTTCAGACACCTGCCAAAAAGGCAATGATAACTTGAAGATATTCGCTCTAGAAATTGGTTTCACAGAGTATGTCACACAATACTCAATCTCACAGTTTGGAACTTAAATATTCACAAAAATATATACAATTTTCACTCAGTATGCTGAGACAGAGATTTCTCTATAAGTGAGCAGCAAAAACATTAATGACAATTAAATTATGTTGGATACTAAACTCTACGGGCCATATATTCCAGTGGCCACTGTCCACCTCACAGAGGAGGCAGTTCCAGAGATACTAATGCCACGACAAAAAAGAAATTCATGCATAATCTTCAACACACAGGGTGTCCCCGAAAAAATTTGCAGGGTTTTTTCCATTGCAAAAGTAAACTATGCAACGCCAAACGCTCATTTTCCACCCACAGGTAGTGCTGGAGGTCCGAAGCAGATGGCAAAGTTTCAGCACGAAGCAATATTTTATTCAAAAGTTATAAATGATTTTTTTGAAAAATTCAACGGGAAAATGGGGCCCATTTTTGCCCGTTTTCGGTTTCTGTCCTCATAGAGCTCCGTGTATTTGAGAGCTCCGTCAGCCACCGTTTTCCCATTGAACTTTTCAGAAACTCGCTTATAACTTTTGAATAAAATATGGGTTCGTGCTGAACCTTTGGCATTTGGTACGGACCTCTAGCGCCACCTTGGGGCGGAGATTGAGCGTTCAGCAATGCGTAGTTTAATTTGCGGTGAAAAATACCCTGTACATTTTTTTTTCCCCGGGAACGTCCTATACATCACAGTTGAAAGTATAACCTGAGGCCTTTTTAAAGAAAAATCATGGAATGCATATTGCATGATGGAAAAGTTTCACCTTGAGCCTGCTAAGCAACTCATTACATTATTGTCTGCTGGAATTCCCAAGCATGCAGTAACCACTAATTACTAAGGCTACCAACATTTTGGAAAATCTGTGCTGGAGGAAATCGGTCTCCAACTCCCTGTGCAATGCGCATATTATTTTATGAACTCGCCCCCACACTGATACAAAACCGAAGATTGGTATGCGGACTCCGTGTGATCACAAATGCAGTAGACAAAGCTTAGAACTTGTGATATGGTGAGCAAATTAAGAAGATACAGCGCTCCCCCAAAAAAATCTTTTGAAAACTGCCTCACTGGTACACATTTTCAATTAAATTAATTTCCCCACACAAAAAAAAATGAATGCAATATTTATGTCAGCAGACATAATTTGACAGAGCTGTATAAGTGTACATCCCATCCACATTTCTTCTCTGTGCCTTTTTGCACCATACATAGGAGAGTTGAGGTGTTTACTCCTCAGGTTAAGCACAAATGGGTGCATATCTTCACTGCACTCCTTAATCCCAGTGGGAAAATGTATAGAACTGCTCTTACTCTGCCGTCACTGTGATATTGATCTCAAAACAGGCACCATCCTAGTAGCCCCTTCTAAGCCAAAATGCCTCATCTCAAAACTCGCTGTCCGCAAAATAACAAATAGAAATGCCATCCGAGAAATACTAGTACCTATAAAAATGAGATAGCTATACCCTCGTTCGTGCGAGCTGACAGTGAAGCGAAAACATTTTGTAGCCCTCAATGCGGCATCAACTCAACGCCGAACGGAGTAATTGAAGGCACGCAAGGCACAAGCTCAGCTTCGCTCGCGTCACACCGATTTGGCATGCCTAGCATCACAGGAATCGAGACGCCGACCAATGACTCTACGCCGGCGTCACTCGAGGCCATCGGCAACTGTACAGTCCAGGAGCTCTAGATGCTTTTCCCGCATGGCGTCGGTCACCTTGAACATTGGGCCGTGTCCGGGAACGACGAAGTCTGCAATGTGCAGTATCATCTGCCGGCTCTTGACCTGCTGCTTGGGGTCTTCGCTGCCGGCCACCTCTCTCCAGATCCTGGGGTCGTCGATGTCTTCTGCCTTCTCGAACAGGTCACCTAAAGGACGTCGCACAAAAGAAAACCCTCCGTCAAGTAGATTGACAGACGTCTCGAGGCAGAGCACATGAAACACGCACCTCAATGGTATTCTTGTAACATGTCAGCTATTCGTAGCCATGTTGCCATGTGCACTGCGCAAAACTGTTGGAGTGAACACGAGATCAAAGACTTTTGGCATATTGCTTCTAAAGGGTATTGGTGTGCATAAAATTTTACCTCTTATGTTAGTGTCCCAAAATGAGTGCCTTAGACTATAGTGGTAGTTTTGATGACAGCCATTTCATTTTAAGAGAAAATAAAGACTGGCAATCATCTATTTGCATTACCAGGTATGTATAAAGTGATTAGACATCCCGATTTAGGCGGGATAGGTCCCGCTTTTCCGACAGTGATCCCGCTGTCCCGCCAGCACGCTTGTGGAACGGTGTTTTGTCCTACTTAGGCGCCCCCAAACATTGAATAGATAAAAGACACGGTTAAACAAAAGGATGCATTAGTAGAGAGGGTGCATTCTCTGATCAATGAACAAGATATGCTTTAAAGCGATGGTGATGCTGAAGGTTAATTTGCGTATGACATGTGAACAGTACTATGGACATACTATCTACAAAAATAAATCCAATAATACTAAAGAAATGTTCCAGCCATACTACATAAAAGGGTTCCAAACTTGCAAACTTCAGCAGACAACAAGGTAATGAGTTGCTTAGCCAGTTTTGAGTTTGGAGAAAATTTTGGAGCAGAAAAAATCTCGTTATGAAGCCCCTTTGTATCAGAAAAAATAGCTTTATGGAGCAGCTCTGGAGGAGCACATATGCAAGTTTGGCGCAATTCAATGCAGTTCCCTATTTGTGATGCCGGCATGCATTTATGTGGTCAGTTACGTGACGCCCATTAAAAAGCCAAAATTAGCAGTACTACTGTACTATAGTTGGTGACAGGTTAAGACTAAAGTGGAAACTCCTCCCACCCCTTTCCACTTTAGCAGAGCAAACACTGGAGAGGAGGTCACCTCCTCCAGCGTTCACTCTGCTAAAGTGGAAAGAGCTGGGAAGAGCTTCCACTTTACTTTTCACCTGTCACCGAATATAGCAGGGGTGGCCAGACAGACATACTGAAAGAGCCATAAAAAGGAACCAGTTTAAGCAAGGAGCTGCAAAAAAAGGGGGCGTGTCACCCAAAACAGGTCCCGTCTCCTCAGTTGGTGGACACGGCAAATTCCGCTCATAAAATGATTGCTCAGTATGTTTCTTCAGTGTAAGTCCCCATTTGTAAAACAAGGACCTTACTCTTTTTTTTTCTTCTGTCTTTCCTTTTGATTTTGCTGGGGGTAGGTTTACCAGGGAGCCGCGAGGCCGCGAGCCGCACTGGTGCTCCCAGAGAGCCACATGAGGCTCATGAGCCGTGGTTTGGTAACCCCTGGACTATAGTCAAATTGCCCTTCAACTGCTCTGAAGCTGTGCTTTAAACTTAGTCAAATTTGTGTCTTGTTCACATTAGTGCTAGTAGACTAAAGTTAGCAGGACTGGCGTAAGCGTGCGAACTATAACCATTGGTAGGTTGATGTAGAGTACCAATTGGACCATCTAGACTAGGCGCCTTCAAATGTCTTGGCTAAGGGGCCGGATTGGGCACTTGTCACACTCCACAGGGCCGGAAAATAAACAAAATTACATTAGTGAGAAAAAACTAAATAAGTAAGCCTACATAAGCATTTGAAAAACAAAATCTAAAATAGAGCAAAAAAAAATGTAAGGTGGTTGAATAATTTATACTTTACTTTAAACACTTTATATTTAAATGCTTTCACCCGTATTCACCAGGTGCGAGTAGGGCCTGTTTAACCACCTACTAGCGATGTCGTCAACTAAAATGATCACGTGGCGAGCGATAGTCGCCGCTAAGTGAGCGCTTTGAATTCACCGGTCATGGTTAGGGCCTAGTCGCCCAGCGCGACTAAGTCGACTAACAAATCTTAGTCATGGGGTAGGGCTAGTTTAGCCGGTGTTTAGCGGGTGACTAGCGGCTCAGTGCCATGGCCGACTCGTATCACCACTGACCACCAGCGCTAACGAAGCACTTACTGTCTCGGAATGCTGGGGGACACATGTAGAAAGAATTGGAGGAGGAAATATTGTGTAAATAGCCCTGTTCAACGGCCAGAGATACCACCAAAGTGATCTCAACAGGGCGCCGGACGGCGAGAAAAAAACGCATTTACAGGCACCGTTACTAGATCAACTCAGTTATGGAACTTCCCATAGACGCAGTACATTGGAGGGGGTCCGAAACCGTGTCTGATTTTTTTGCAGCTAGGTGGTGCTGCCGGCGCATTATTCCACGCCTTTTCGTCTGCTACTGCTCCGCGGCTGCTTGCGAGTCCCGACTCCTCTCGAGGTTCAGCATGGTTTTTTGCCCTTTCACTAGTAAAAATGACAATTTGAGCATGAAAAGCGCTACGACCGTTTTGGCATACGCTTTGCATTATTGTAAAATGCTGCTGCCTTAGCTGTGCTGACAGCGCGAAGCGTTTCGAACAACCCAAATTCGTCTGCGCCGCAATCCAATGGCTACAATCAGGGCAAGTTTGTACATATTGTCATAGTAGATGTGCCGATAACTACCAACTGCAGCAGAAACAATTTGAAAGTCGTCTGCTACTGTCAGAAAAAGCGTCACAAACATCCGTAAGCTCAGTAGGCCAGATGCAACAGCCATGTACGATCTCTATGGCAACGGCCACAAGCGTGCCGTCAATGATGATGATAGCGAGTAATAATGCGGAGCGCCCGCACTCTAACAGGCGCCACGCAAAGGGACCCCCCTCCGGAGCGCAGTTCCAGAACTGAGTTGGTTCTAATAACATTGCTTACAGGTGCTTCCATATTTGCTTATGTCGCTGGCAATGCGACTTCCGTATTTCTTCCTTGCGTTTCTTTTAATTTTTCTTTGTAAAACTCTGTCTCGGGCAATTAGTCTCTCATTGTAACTTTTTTCTTCCTGATAAAGATTTAAATATTAGTTTTTATACGATAAAATACCCATTTGCGCAGCGGAATTTAAGTATGCGTGCGCGTGAAATTTTTACGTCACGTCTGCTTCTTAGCTCTGGCAAGATAGTCACCCGCTCGCTTCGCGCTCGTGAATACCGCAGGACTAGTCGATCCTTAGTCGCTGATTTTTTCTCTTAGTTCGCGACTACTTAGTCGCAATACTAACTTTAAAACAGCCCTAGTTAGTCACGACTGGTGAATACGGGTGAATATGTTGTTAATTTTGACATTACACAATACTTGTGACCCAGAAAACTCAAGAGGCATAAATCAAAGTTCATTACTGTGGCATAAAAAATACAGGGCAGAAGAAGACTAATGAGAATGCTAGATCTGATGATGAGAATATGCAAGAGTTATGACAGATTATAGTTACACATACATGAACAGGGAACTATGAATTGTAATGCTGGTGATGACAATGGACAACAAATACTGTGACGAGAGGGCCTGCGTTTTGATGTAGATTTTCTCATTCTTACTTATACCTTCGCTAGCTAGCGCTTCTGAAACGTGTTGCAACAACACCTTTTTTTTTTTTTTTTTTAAGGACTTTTTTTTTTTTGCATTAAAAGCAGTGGGTTGTGGGCCAAGCGCCACTGAAAAGACTCCGGCCATCTGCGGGCTGGAGGGAGTGCCTCTACGGGCCGGGGTCTCGAGACCCCTGCTCCAGATAGAGGGGTAAATGGCACTACACAGTCTTCCCAGATGACATAAAAAAATTAGTTTTTTTTAAATTTAGACACATTAACGGGTAGTATGATCAAGGATTCACAGCCTTTGACGTAATGAAAAGGCAACAATTTGTAACCAAGCAGTCCAGACCATTGATCTCCATGACAAGTTGCTCGATCGCGCATCCCCGCTTGGTCGGTGCAGTGCAAGTACAGTGAACTAGAAATGATTGAATGAGGCAAGCTACAGGCTTCGCTCACGCATTCAGTTGAACTCAGAATTTGGAAAGTTGGTGTGGTGAAGCTGCAATCGAAGTGGCTTGGGTTGTCTGGATTTTCGCTATGACGTCATCGTCGTTGTTCGCCGTCGTGACGACATGTTGCGTCGAGGACGATGGCATTGTGACATCAATCGATGTTGTAAAGCGTTCGTGACATTGCGTCGTGTTGAGGACGACGCCGTTACGTGAAATCAAGTCGCCGTTGTAGTGCAATCGTGACGACGCGCCACATCGAGGACGACATCGACGTGGTCGTCCATGCCCCATGCAACGTCAAACGTCGTTATGATATCACGTTAACATCATCCTGATGTCGCATTACGTAATTGTCATATTAACGTCGTCCTGATGTCATGGGATGTCGTCGTCAACGTCACAAATTGTCGGGACATCATTGTGACGTCGAGTTGCGTCATGTCGAAAATGACGTCGACGACCTGACGCCAAGCATCTTTATGACGTTGCACTGATGACAAGGACGCTGTCGTCTTGACGTAGCGTGACCTCGTCGTCGTCAACGTTGACATCGCCGTCGTTGTCAGTGTAATATGACGCCAGAATGCAGTCTTGATGTAGTGTAACGCGCATTGTCAACATCAACAACGACGTCAATGCGTTGTCGTGATGTCGCATGGCGTTGTGACGGCATGTGAGGTCGGGGTGATGTTATGTATTGACGTGACGCCCCACGTCTGGATAGTATAAAAATATAGCCCGGGGCTCTATTGTTTCTATGTCCTTGACATGTGTGCTGGTCGAGCGTGGCAATGGAATGCAACGCTTTTTTCATAAGAAGCGGCTGATAAAATACATTGAGCTTTTATTGTAGTGTCCGTTTACTCCTTGTTTATGCAAATCCAAGCCACTTTGCTTGTACCGCCCTCTCATAATTTTTCCACATGCGGAGCTTTAGATATAGCACTCCGGTGGCCCCGCTCATCCTCTTTCTAGTTCGCTTCAGCACAAGTGCGGCCACCGGACGGCCATCT